TTATTTTCGCAAGTCTTTCTCAATATGTTTTCATCCCTAATTACTGATTGTTTATGTGAAAGCATGAGTGGCTAAATACCACGACTGGGGTTGTGGGATCTATGATGATATTCTAGTTGCGATTCCGTAAAAGGCAGTCTGTGTTTACAACCTGTAGTTTTTAGCTTTCTATATCATCTTAGTCTAGTGAGTGCACACATTAAACGAGCCTGTATCTGGTATTTGTTCGAGAGAAAAATACCAGTTAGGAAAAAGCTGAATTAAATTAACAAATTAGAGTTAAAGCTTGAGTTCGAGAGAAAAGATCATTAACACCATATCATTTCAAGTAAGGTTCAATGTTAGTAACACTCTAAGGTCGAGAGAACATGAGTGATCACTATCTTATTAGGCTGAGAAGCGTTAGATAAATTTAACTCGCAAGGATTCTCTAAACATTGATTTGCCTAACACCCAAATTACAGGAGAACACTAGAACCAATGTTATGGTGAACACAATCCTGATTTCTCTTAATTAATTGAATCAATCTTACAACGAAATAGTTTGTTAGTCTTGAGCCTGGATTTTGACTGTAGGTTTTGGTAATTATAACAATTCAACCATACCCAATTTACTTTCCATTGTTATTTGTCTAGGAGATAATAATAACATTCGAATAAACGCGACAATGAAACCTTATCTGTAAAGAAATTCTCTGTAGGATCGACCTCAACTCTAGTTGAGTTCTGTAAATTGACATCGACCGTTTACACTTCTAATTTGAAGTGTAAGTTTGGACGTATCAATGCTAGACTGACTTTAGAGCAAACATAAAAGAAAAATGATATGGTTACCATTGGCAGCCTCTACCTGAGTTTAGTTGGAAACAGACCTAGAGTGCCCTGGAAGTGTCTGATGTTTGCCAACTCTGCAAAACCAAAGGCCATTATTACAATGTTGCTCCAAGTACAAAACAAACTATCAACTAGTGATAGGTTGGCTTCACGGGGGATGGATAGAAACCAACAGTGCAAGTTGTGTCAAAATGGACTCGAAACTAGAGATCACTTGTTTGTCTACTACTATGAGTTTACAATAACTATTTGGAGAAAGTTGATGGCATGGATCAAATGGCCAGACTATACCTCAGATGCTTGGGACACACACTTGAAGTGGATCATAGAGAAAGCTAGAGGCAACACTCGATGCCCAGTTTTTCAGACTAATGTATGCAGAGTGTAGTCATGCAGTGTGGATAGAAAGGAATCACAGAATTTTCGAAGGAAAAAAATAGAAATCTTGAACACATTTCTAAAGAGATAGTTTATATGTGTAGTATGAGGGCTCCTAAGGCCATTCAGTGGCGGAGCCACCTTAGAATTAGGGGGTTCGTCCGAACCCCTTTCGACGAAAAATTATATGATTTATACATGGTTAAAATACTTTTTTAGGTATATATAGTAGATGTCGAACCTCCTTCGGCTACTTCGTGTGTCTATTTTTTCATATTTTGAATCCCCATATTGAAAATTCTGGCTTCGCCACTGGTTGCAATAACTTCTCGTTCTATGAAGTTGTGTCTCCTTTGAGTTTTATTTTTCTAGTTAACAAATTGTGATGTAGTTTGTTATGATTTGTAAATACCATTTGGTGATTAATGAAAATACAGTTAATTACCAAAAAAAATAGTTGTATTGTTAATATCATAGTTAGTCATTTATTAGTCATTCATAACATAACACCAAATAGAGTATGAGGGTGTTTGGATTGGCTTAAAAGTTGGTCAAACCTACTTTTAAGTTAGTTTTTTTGCTTCTGGAAGTGTTTGGCAAATATAAAAAATAACTTAAAATAAGTTACGAATAGAGCTATCAAAATGGGCTGGCCTAACCCAACCCAACCCTAACGGGCTAGAGAGTTAAATGGGTTGGGATGGGCTGACCCTTTTAATTAAAGGGCCTATTAAATAGCTGCCCAACCTAGCCCTAAGCGGGCCACAGGTTGGGACGGGTTGGCCCTTCAACCAAAAAATGAACAATATTACTCTCTTAGAAAGAGTATCTAAGAGTATCGAACGTTGACGTCTATGAACACGACATCAATACATACAAATTTTCATTTATGAATCACACACTTCGATGAATACTTACAAAAATACATTTATGAACCACACACTTCGGTGAGTACTTATACATAATAGTCAACATAAGATTTAGCGGAAAAATGTTGATCATTCCACCATATCTCCCACAAAAAACTAGCTAGTTTAAAAGACTTGATTTTTTATTTTTAAAAATATTTATTGATAAAAACTTTACAAATAAAACACTACTAAAATATATATAAAATATATTTTTAAATATTCATAGCCCACGGGCTGGCCTCTGAGACTTGTGGATTGGTCCTACGAGGCTAGCGGGCCAAATGAGGCTGGGCTAAAAAGCCTCGTTCCTAAATGGGCCAAAAAAATTAGGCCCAACCCCACTTAATTCAAGGGTTGGGTTGGGTCGGTCTAGCGGGCCAAGCCCATTTTGACAGCTCTAGTTACAAAGTGTTTGACAAAGTAAAAAATGACTTAAAATAAGTCAGAAACTAAAAGTAGGTCTCTTCCTACTTTTTATTTTTTGACTTAAAAGTCATTTCAGTTTGACTTTTTATTTTTGACTTAAAAACTACTTTTTTAAGTCAATCCAATCCAAACAGGCTCTATATATGCATAGAGGCGAAGATATCTTTTTAAATATATTCTAGAAAACAACCCCTAATTAGGGGATTGAGACAGACTTAAGGTAGGAGATATATAGATGTGTGAGATTCGGTAATAAAGCATAAAATCGATCCATATATTCTTGCAAGTTGTAATTTTGTTCCTTGATTCATGTTCAAGACTAGACTAGATATTTTCACCTTTCCACAAATATAGGAGCTTTATCTACATCTCATAGAGTATCAAAACAATATGCCACATGACATTTAATTTTAACTAGGTGTTGTAACTTGTAAATGGATGAATTGAGTTAAATTCGAACGGATTAAATTGAATCGAAATAATTATGACGTCAAGATTTAATTTATTTAAAATTTACTTGGATCAAGATGAGTTAAGCAATAAATCAGAACTCAATACATTGAATTTCATTCATTAATGTTTCACCACTTTGTAAAAATATCATAATTATTACGATCAACGTAATATGTTGATTATTCTTTGAACGAAGGACCTAATTTACATAGTACATTCCTTTAGGGTTCTAGTTCTAGTTTATATGCAACTATTGACTTTTAACTTCTTTTCCTTGTCCACATTCACACACTTTGAGAAAACATTTATTTTAAAAAAATTTACTTTACTTGTTTGGATTGGATTACATTTTGATTCGGTATGATCCGATTATTCTGATGAATTATTTTGAGGTCAATTCATTTGGTCAACTCAACAAACGGTCATGATTCAATACGTAAAAAAACTATATAAATTAGGCGGGTTAAAATTGACTTTGTCATCCCTAATTTGATTCAAGAAACAATTAAAAGCTCATACACCTTTATTTGAGTTTGTTTGTGACGTTAACTCAATTTTATTTTTGGTTTTAAAAAAATTGACCCATTCTTTTAATTAAATCAAACAAATTAATACATATTTAAAATATAATTTAACACTAAATGCTTTTCTTTTAAATCGATCGGATTCATGAAAATAACTTTTTTACCTCACAAAAATAAAACTAAAATCTGTGTGAATTCTGCACTTGTAAAATCTTAATGTGTATATTGTTATAATGTGTAGTACTCTAGATTCAATCTTAAAAAACAAGGCTATCCACTGATAAAGTTAGAATGAAATGATAGGCAATGTTCCGGGTTCAAAAAGTTGCAAAAGGTTCTGGTGATTTTATTCTATCTATATTATAGGTTTAAAAAGGCAAAGTTACTTAGATGCATATATAAATATTACCGGTGGAATAACAATAACATAAAAATATTTTCATACATATATGGGATACCTTATGTCAGAATCTTTAGTAGTCCCTCCGTCCCATTTAGCAAACATATAATAATATAAACTCGACAATTATAATTTTAATAATTGTGTTTTATAATTATAGTTTTATTTTCTATGAAGGTTACGGCTTGTGTATTTCTACCGGTTGATATATTGCGTTTGCGAATATACAAATATGATAAGTACATAAAAATTTCGTATTTATACATTGAGGAATTTTTCAGAACTCCGTTTGTATATTTCGTTTGCCAATATACAAATATGATAATTTATTATCATTTTTTCATAAGTCATATACAAATAGATAGCGTCATCATGTACAAAATTTTAGATTCATACAATCAGAAACCGAATTATATAAATTATGAATTCTTACAAATCATACAAATTTATACAAATCAGATGAATAGCAAGAATTGGGGTAACTATAGCTGCAAATTACAATTTTCTTAAACTGTAGCTATAGTACCTAATATAGGCTAAATATTTGTTATTCTGCATAATTTTCCCGTTTATATATGTTAGTTTGACTTGGTACGAATTTTATGAATGAAAAAAAGACTTTTAAATTTTTTGATCTAAATAAGTGACAAATACTTGTGTGGTTATAAATTATTTCGTTAAGGATAAAATTGACATTTTAAAGTTAAATTATTATTACTTGATATAGAAATATCAATTTATTTTAGACAAGGAATTATTATTTATTTATTAAGCAATAAATATCATCACTGTGGACGTGGCAGAATCTGCTTTACATCCATAACAGCTACTATGATGGACGCGAATCCACCATATCTTATCCCTCTTTCCTTCGCTTTCGTCTCCATTACTTACCACGTCAGCACATACATCCAAATTAGAGTTCCCTTGGGACCACACAAGGATTATTCCCTACAGAAATCATCGCCTCCTTTACGGGTCCCATTCCACGTATTATCTCATTATCAATTTACTCAATTACCCCAATATCACTTTAAATAACCAAACTATCCTCAGGATCTTGTTTATAAATTTCATCCCCCTCTCTTCATTACTATCTCGTGTTTTATCTTCTAATTCTCAATTTCACACACTTCTAGAGAGAAATAGAGTGATTCTGTAGTTTTTCTTCTCTTTTGTGGTCTATTTTTGATTTTTTGGAAAATGTTGGGTGTTTTTAGCAGTTCCATTGTTTCTCCGCCCGAAGAGCTCGTCGCCGCCGGTAGCCGGACTCCTTCACCTAAGATCACGTCGGATGCTCTGGTGAACCGGTTTGTTCAAAGAAATTCATCGGCGATTTCTATGCAGATCGGCGATTTTGTCCAACTCGCTTACTCTCACTCCAACGAGTCTGCTGTACTCCCCAGGTACAGCAACTAAGAACTAAAAGAAGTGATGTAACTGATTTATGAACTTAATTTTAGCTGCGTTTTAAGTTTAATTTCTAAATTGAAAAGTTGAACAGAAATTTGGTGAGGTAGAATTTCAGCTCTGGTAAAGTGATCTGAAACGTTGTTTATCTTGTGGGATATGTGATTGACGGTTCAGATTATTACACGATTTGATGGATGTGACATCATGGCTTAGGAATATCATGCATGATGCATGAATTTCCTAATTCATCCACTAAATAGAGTTATATTGCTCTGCTTTTCGTTTTGATTAATCGAAAACTTCACTCCAAGTCAAATTAGCAAGGAGTATCATGAGTCCTGTGACCTTTAATCTGTCTATGAGTAATATATTAAAATAAAAATGATAAAGCTAATACGATCTCATACACCGACTATTTTAATTAATTTGAATAGTATCACTTTTCCAGAAAAACCGAATACAGTATACTTTTAACAATCCAAACAATTTTTTTTAGCAAAGTGAGTGTCGTCAATTTGAAGTCAAATGGGAAAACTGGTTGTCCTCTTTTGGATGAATCCAACAGATGACGAAACAGATGAGAGAAGCAAAATAAACGGTTATTATTGCACAATAGTGGTATTATTACTATTATTATTAATCCTAAACTTTGTAGGTTGTTCTCGAAGTTCCTTTAGAGCTCATCTAGGTTTTAGATCCATAGACGTAGTCATATAGCACAAACGTCAATAATTAACATCGAGGGAAGATTTTTCCAACATCAAGCTCAAAGCTTATAACTTTGGGCCAACTGGTTAAAATTGTAATGGGGAAAACTGACACGTGTGATATGAACCTTGGCCGAATAAGTTCGCTAGGATGGTGCTCAGATTAACACAAATAAAAGAAGAAAAAAGCCCTATTGCCCTGATCATGCCTCGAAGAAGGAGTATGGGGAGATATAATATTTGAGTATACTAGTTTATTAGTGATATATTAAAATAATAATTTATCAGTTCAAGAACTTGCTGTTGGACACTGAATCCATCTATAGTTATGCTGCCTTGACAAGAGGCTCTTTTTATTCCTCCAGTTAATTTTGTTTCTCTTTTTTTTTTTCTTTTTTTTTTTCTTTTTTTTTTTTTGTGATGGGGTGGGAGGGGTATTTTTCTATTCCTTACTACCTAAAAAACACTAGAATTAGCTATGAGCTTTGTCGTTATTTCGTCGCTATTTTGTTCGTAGCTAACGAAAATCTGTGACTGATTTGTTGCTAAGTAGAATAGCGAAGAATTTTGTTGTTTAGCTACAAAATTTGTCTATCACTAAATTCAGTTTTTTTTAGTAGCTAGTTTATTTTTGTTTCTCCTTTCTTCTTTGTGGTTTGGAGGGGCTTGCTGATTTAGGTCCCTCCCCTCTCCCCACAACCAAATTGGTCAGTTGGATAGGAAAATCTTTGGAAAAGAGTAGTGGACCAGTAGTTGGGAAATGCTAGTCAATGTTCTGCTTACATAAAAATGAACTGGATTGTTGGCAATAAGTTAGGAATTGACTAGTACGAGAAGTTGTAAGGTTTTTTAAGAAGCAAATTGTAGAACACTTATTGGTGGAATTCATCCTCTATAAGTGCCTTCGAGAATTGCTGCAGGGGAGGGGATCTGGGTAGTTGGAGACTTTAAAATCTATTTACTATAATTAACACTAATTGCTTTCTCTGTACGGTGGTCCCTTTGGTGATTAAGCAAGTTTCCTAGCTAGTTGACAACATGGGTTGTGGTGCACTGGTGGGAGTGCTTCACCCTTAACCAGAGGTCTCGGGTTCAAGTTCTGAATATGGAGAAAATCTTGTTGGGAGCGCCACTCCCGAATGGGCCCTGCAGAGCGCGATCCAGATTTAGTTGGAGCTTCAATGTGGACTCCGGACACTGGTTTGGAAACCAAACCAAAAAAAGTTTCCTAGCTAGTTGTTAATTGAAAGGGAAGCCTTTTATCGGTATTTATTATTTTAATCACCCCTGAGTATGAAAAGTTTGCTTATTCCTACCACTTGAAATTAAAGAAGTTTGTATGCAGAGTCGTTTTATTTATCCCTTGATAAGGATCATATTTGAGTTACAACTGTAAACTTGTTTTGATAATAGTAATAGATTCTGTAGCGTAGATTTTGTGTTAAAGTATTGACTTGTAGGATTAACTTCTTGGGGAAATGGCAGGTCATTTGCTGTTAAGGATGACATATTTTGCTTGTTTGAGGGATCACTTGACAACTTAGGGAGTCTGAGGCAACAATATGGCCTTGCCAAGTCTGCAAATGAGGTGATGCTGGTGATTGAAGCATACAAGGCACTTCGGGACAGAGCACCTTACCCTCCAAATCATGTTGTTGGTCACCTTGAAGGCAATTTTGCTTTCATTGTTTTTGACAAGTCTACTTCCACCTTGTTTGTAGCTACCGTAAGTAATTTTTACCTACCCAAATTGCCTTGTTGTTGGAGTGGTTGAATTTCGATCCTTAGTTTCTTACCTATAATATTATATATTGGATTCTTGTAAACAGGATCAAGTTGGTAAGGTACCCCTCTACTGGGGAATCACTGCTGATGGGTATGTGGCCTTTGCCAATGATGCTGATTTGCTTAAAGGTGCTTGTGGCAAGTCACTTGCTTCTTTTCCTCAAGGTAGGTTTGACAAATTACTCTCCCTTTGGTGATCTGGGGATAACTATTGAAGTAATTATGACCAAATTAACATGTATGTAAATAAATAATTCAGTAAGTGACATTCACTGTCCAACCAGAACACTAACAAATAATTCAACATCTTTTGTTTGCTTTTTCAGGGTGTTTCTACTCTACAACAGTTGGTGGACTGAGAAGCTATGAGAACCCCAAAAACAAGATCACCGCCGTTCCTGCTACTGAGGAAGAAATATGGGGCGCTAAGTTTATGGTAGGTGATGTTTTAATAGCTTATCGACCTATTACTGTGAATAAAACTGTTCAAATAAAAATCCTTATTAGAACTTGATATGATGACCTTAAAGAGATGAGGACAACCAGACCTGTAAATTCTTCCTAAAAAATTTCAGTCTCCCTCATTCCACGCAATCTGATGCAAATTTTCAACATGATCAATAAGTTGGCATAACGGCAACGTTGACATCACTACCATCCATGGTGGATATATATTGAATTTTTGGCCATAAATTTAGTGTTTATCAAAAAACTAAAAATAATTTTTTCAAGTATTGAATTATTTCACAGTATGCTGAGGACAACCACATTTGATATTGAATGGACTTATTCGTCAACGATCATCACTAATTTAAAGCAAGTGTCTGTATCACGTTAATGAATTTCCATCTCTCACTCAATGCACCTGCCTATTGAGTGGCTTAGTTTTGTCAAATAAAACACAAACCTTCAGGAAGTGGACCCTAATTATGTGATGCAACTTGATAAGATAAAAACTTTTACTATATCTTTACTTAAGAAATATCAGAGCAAGTAAATTCAGATTGAGACATTTAACATCAATTATAGTACTAACTTTTTTACTGGTCCCAACTTGTAACATCTACCTATCCGTGAATAAAGTTGTTCATATCAATAATCTTATCGAAACTTGATGTAATAACCACAAAGAGAAAAGGACAACCAGACTTCTATTTATGGTTATTGGTGGAACCATGAAAGCCCACTAGCCTCTTTCTTTGCTATATACGCCCGCCCTAGCATGTAGTGGTTGTATATGAATACAATTCAACTTAGTGGTTGATATTCACATAGAACCACATATGAAATCGATGGTGGCAGATAGCGTATCTCTATTTGAACTATGCATATAAAACGTCAAATTTTTTCATCCAAAATGCATATATTTGTACGTATTTACATTATATCGTCCCACGCATGATCATTTCCGAACTACATGTTCTTGTATTCACTGGTGCTGATGTTAACGGGGGCCTACTGATGAAATTTCAGGTGGAAGGTTCAGCTGTTGTTGCAGCCACTGAATAGAAGATTTCGGTTTTCCTCTTTGAGCTCTGAGGGAAAAACAAGGCCGTGAGTATTAGTGGGGGAGCCATGTACATAAAGTGAACGACTACTGTTTTCTCTTCCTAGTAATTCTGAAGTTCTACTTTTGTGCTGCTTAGGGTAGAGTTAGGTTGAAAGTATGATGTTTGGTTTCTTCTAAGGTATTTTAACTACTAAAATCAATGTACACCTTTCTTTCAGCTCAATAATGTTTGTAATAGTATGTAAATATGAACAATGAAGAACCTGTTCATGCAATTTCTTTCTTTACTCACCCTTGATTGCAATTTCCAACAAATTCGAAAATGTGCGATTAAATTAAAATTTCTTACCCAAAATAACCAACTATTATATATATTACAAAAAAAATGGCCATTCGGTCTTTACTATTACACGCAAAGGGCAGACAAGCAGCTCCTTGTTTTATTGTTAAATTGGCAATTCATGAATATCTTCAACCTATTCATATCTGAAGTCTCTACAAGTGTACTCCCTTTTGATTCATGTTACCTACTTCTATACTCTAATAGTAGTACAATCTATAAACTTCTATTATTATATAACTAATCATCTTTTCTTACAAGTTTTTTTTAAAGATCTTAGAATTCATTTTGTTTCGAATTTCAAATTTCGACGTGTCGCCGGTGCGATTCGTTTTGAGTAAATAATATATCAAAAATTTAAAATATTGAGAGGAACTCATATCTAGATTTGGGACTGTCTTAGAGGAGATTTGAGTTGGTTGGAACTGGAAAAAAAAATTTGATTTGAAATGTATAAATAATGTATATACATCTCCTATATATAGTTAGTTATACATCATCTATATATAAGTATACACTATTTATATATATATATATATAGTCTTGGGTGCAGCTGGTAAAGACGTCGGTTTAACAACAAAATTAAGTACCCAATATCACACAATTTTTATTAGGAGAATAATTTTATGTGGTTTAAATTTGAGTGAGTAGTATATGGTGATAGAATAATAACAATAACCATTGTGTTTGCTAGCTCATTTCAGTCATCAAGATAGTTATATTTTAATTTATGTATGTATGAAACTAAAAATTGAAACACGCGAACTATAATAACCAGTCCAGTCGTTATGGGCGGTTAGAGCCATAGTCATACCTTTGCAGCTCTTGAACCTACAAAGACTATTCTTTATCAAATTGACGACTATTTTTCAATTTTTTTTGGGGAAAGAGAGACGGTAAGAACAAACATCATTGGTCTTCATGGAAAAATATGTGTTATCCTACTGAAGAAGGTGGTTTGGGCTTTAAAAGACTTTATGACATTTGCAAGGCCTTCAGTGCCAAGAGATGGTGGAGGATGAAGACCATGAATAACTTGTGGTCCAACTTTATGAAGGCCAAATATTGTCCTAGAACCAATATGGTGGCCAAAGTTATTAACTCAAAAAATTTCAATGCTTGGAGAAATTTGCTTTATATTAGGCCAATTGTGGAACAAAGTATCAAATGGAAAATCAACGAAGGTAGTGCATATTTCTGGTGGGATAACTGGCCTAATAAGGGTCCTTTAGCCAATAGAGTCCGATTACAAAGAAAACCTGGCAGCAACACGGTGAGACAATTTCTCCAAGGCAATCGATGAGATCGAGACTCTCTTAGGCTGTTTCTTCCTGAGAATCTGGCGCAAGAAGTGGTTCAGATTGATATTGGAGATATGAGAGATAGCGACAAGTGCATATGGACCCTAAATTCAACTGGAAATTTCTCATGCTCATCGACCTGAAACTTTATTAGACAGAAAAAACAAAAAGAACCTATGTATAATCAGATTTGGGGAAAAGAAATTCCATTTAAAGTTTCGTTCTTTATGTGGAGAGTTCTGAAAAGAAATCTTCCCATTGATAGTATTATCAAAAGTTTTGGTATTCAAATGGACACGAGGTGCTCCTGTTGTAGGGATACTCAACTAGAGACTCTTGATCACTACTAGTGATTTGGCCATTAAAGTCTGGAACTATGTGACTAGACCACTTGGTATTACTCATAATGCCCATATTGTGCAGGGGGTTCTTGATTATTGGTGGCAAACAAACGCTAGGAATGAAGTACACAAGATGCTCCTACACGTAACACCATTTTTTACCTTGTGGGAAATCTGAAAAACAAGGAATGCCAAGAGGTATGACGGTAAAAATATCTCTCTGTTCAGAATAATTAACCAAATTTTATTTAATGTGCAGGTGGCTATTTCCAAAAAATACAGCAAGATGGACAGTAAATGGGGATGGAGTACTATATGCTTGATTGCTGAAAATTATAAACCAAGAATCACTAGCATCGTGGTCTATTGGACAAGACCTCAAGGAAATATATGGAAATTGAATACAGATGATAGCTGGACAAAGATTGGCTGGAATAGGAGGAATCGTTAGGGAAAAAAATGGAAAGATGGTCATGGCTTTTGCTAAATCTACCCAATTTTCTACTAACAACTCTTGTGAATTGCAGGCAGCTTTACATGGGATTGAATGGTGCCATGACAACTCAAAATCTCACATAATTTTGGAGATGGATAGTCAAATAGCAGTGAATATGATTAAAGGATTGACTCCAACGCCTTGGACTCTAAGGAAAACAGTGAGAAAAATCCAAAAGAAGATACAAAATATGAATTGCGAGATCATCCATTGCTTCAGGGAGGCAAATTGTGTAGCTGACGCTCTTGCAAGACATGCCACTACGAGGGACATGGATTACATCTTCTCAAAGGAAGAAGACATGCCTGACTCAACTGTAAGACCAATGAGAATGGACAGACTCAATCTTGCTTCATCTAGGTTCAAAAAAGAAAAACACTCGGGGATGGCACTACGAACCACCTTGAATGATAGTAAGGGAAGGCATAATCCTATTTTGTTGATAGAAAATGCCTTCCCTTCAGGAAACTCTCATAGGAGAGTCTTTACTTTCTTTGAGTAGATTTCCTTTTTTGGTGTTATTTGGGATGAGGTTTAGGCGATATGTCCCCCTCTCTCTCTTGTAAGTGATCTTAGTAATAAAAAAAAGTGGTAATTATAGCAAATTATAACTATGATGATTAATTAAGTAGTATAAATTTGTTTAACAACGTAATTTTTAATTCTTTTTGTTGAAATGTATGCGTCCACTTATCAGTCAAGGATCAGGTCCCTTGACTCAGCAAGAACAGTAACTAAAAGTAAGCGTCCACTTGTTTCGATGGGACCAGGTCCTCAACACAGTTACAATAACAGACAGTTAAATAAGTGCTGAAAGTAAAGTGTCAACAAACAACTTTACGTGGAAACCTCCTTGCTCAAGAAAGTAAAACCACGACCTGGCCTGCCTGGACTTTTCAGCTGTTTTCACTAATCTTCCTTAAGCAAAAGCGAACAACAGTTACAACCAACGTGAGAAGAAGTTATTAATCTCACAACTAAGTAATAACTCTATTACTTAATGAGCCTAAGCAGATACTACACTGACCACTAAGCTATCACCACTAGACAACTTAGGATTTGACTAAGCAACACGCAAGTTGCCCACTAAACCACCACGCTCCGGATGACTTAGAATTTGACTAAGCAACAAACAATGTTACCCACTAAATCAGTTAGACTCAACTGATTTAGACTTTTACAACGAACACAAGATCTGAATCCTTTATAGATTAGGAACAAATTTACAATGAAAGTACAGAAGATATAATCCAAAGACAACTAGACAACTTCAGCTCTGTCAGGTCCTTATTGCTCTTGAGGATGATTCTTCACCTTTTGTTAGCCTTTGCAAGAGTTCTTGAGAATTTTCAAGTTGCAAAAACTTATAAAATGATAGACACAAAACTCAAACTCAACAAAGATGCTTCAGCACTTTATCAGATCCTTTTGTTGAGTATGAGTATTGTTCTATCTTGAAGATGACTTTTTTTCTTTTTAAGCTTGTGTGTTTTTGTTTGCCAAAATCTTGAGTTTGTGTATTTTGGAAAGAGATGATATAAATCAACACAAACTCGTTGAGACAATCCTATTGGCTGAGAGCCTGCTGGTCTGAAAAGTTATGCACCTACTAGCAGCTTTTTCCGACGGACTGTCTTGTCACCTTTTCATATCGCAGTCTTGCAGGGACCAGGTCCCTTGCAAACTTCTTTGTGAACTGTTGAAAAGGCTTGCTAGCTTTCTCTCTTCTTGAATGGATAATGTTGTTTGTTTATTGTTATATATATCAGTTACCAACACGGGTTTTAACCACTTAAACAAACAACTCCATCCGCCCTTCCAATTGGTGAAGTACGCTGCACATCTCACCAACCAACCTGACAAGACAACTGTAAAGATAGCTTTACAGCTATGCACCACTTTGAGTTTGGACGGAGGTACTCTTCCAAGGACCAGGTCCCTGAATTTGTGAGGATCATCAAAACACCTAGAATATAACATTTTCCCCTTTTTTGATGAACACACACAAATAATCCTCATGTTGAGTTTATTCATTCATTACCCCTTTCATCAGTCTCAATACCAGAGGACCCTTCTCCCTGGATCTAGTCCCTTGTTAGACTCTGCATTTGTGAGGATCATCAAAACAGCTAGAATATAACATTTTCCCCATTTTTGATGATGACACACAAATATTCCTCACACTGAGTTTATTCATTTATTTGCCCTGTCGTCAATCCTAATAACAAGGATCTGGTCCCTTGTTAGATCCCTCAGTCTTCTTCCCCCTTTCAACAGTTCCCTCTATCAGCATGCCTCTTGAGGTAAGTGGAGTGGTCCCTTTTTTGCATCATTCCCGAAGTTTGTCAAATCATCAAAACATCTTGATAGCATTTCCCCCCTTTTTGATGATGACAAACATCTTGTTCCTCCTATCGGGAGGACCAGGTCCTCTTCAAGTAGCTAGCATTTGTTCCCCCTATCGGCATGATCATGTCTCTCTACAAGTAGCTAGCATGTGTTCCCCCTAACATCATTGATCTCATACCTTAACAATTTTTCTCTCTTTTGACATCATAAAAAAAGGGTTAAAGCAGTAAACCAAGTTGACAGAGATGCAATTCAAGCAAATTCATGGCCACTTGGGCAACACTAAGCATGAGTAAAAAATGCATAAAGTAATGAGACAAGTCAGTAGAAACAAGACATTTTTCATCCATAAATAAAAGATCAGCCATCAAAGCATTGCAAATATGATTACAAATGAAAACCAGAACAATGCCCAGAAAAAGGGAATGAGGACTGACATAGAGAGTTAGGAAGAGATGGGATGACCTAGAGGCAAGGGATTAAAAGAAAGAATTAATAGAGCATATCCCTTAGCATGGTATTTGTAGAAGCCTCTCTTGAAGTTCACATTCTTTGTTGCCTAACCTTCATATTGAACCTTTGGGGCTGCCAGTTTTTTTTTTTTTAACAACCTGGGTCCCCTCTGATAGTGCTGTTTCAGAAGTTGAGTCTTTAGGCACACTATTTCAGTATCCTTGTTAGCAAGAGCAACTATCATAGTATCCAATGCAAGCCTGAGTTTCTCATGACAAACAGATTGATGAAGTCAAACTTACTCAAGGCCTTCGAGATGAATAGAACAATAATAGAGAAACCATTTTTTTCATTTTTTTTTATTATCAGACACCCTCTTATTCAGAATACTTTTAGTTCTCAGAATATCAACTTCTCCCTCTTTGAACATCTTCTTTTCCACTTCTTTCTTTTGCATTGTGGACCTGGTCCTCTTCACACTTAAAACATCTTCATCAGAAAATTTTCGAGTAAGAACAAAGAGTTTAACAATTGGAAGTGTTTTTGAGTGAGGAGAAAATAGGGTTTCGGGAAACTCTGATATTTGGAAGGGAAATTGATTATCTGTGGTATTTGGAAAGAAATATGGAATATAAAGAAAGTGAAATGATGTATTACATGAAAGAAAGTGTCATTTTGGTATTCAAAAGATGAGACAACGGTCAGATACCTGAATGACAGACTTGTGGCAATTGCAACGGTTCTCATGCATAATAACTACAATGTTAAGAGTGCTAACCTTCGAGAACGGACCAGGTCCCTCTCTTAGTTTGAATGTGATTGCCTAGATCTGTCTTGACCTCTCTTTTCCTTCAGCCCTTTTCCATGTGTGTATACCTACAAAAGGTATGAGACTGCATTTGCTAAAACATACATAACTGAAAAACAAGGATTCCTGCTCCCTTTGCATAGTCATGAGAGAGTTGATTTCTTTAGGCAGGATCCATTCAAGAAGGTTTCAGCATTCCCAATCATCAGTTTGATTATCTCAGCCAGGTCTTCTAAGAGCTTCAAGATGCTGCTTGATCCACAAACGTTGAACCCATCAAGCTGCACTTGCTACATCATTCTATACCTCAGTTGATGAAAGAGCAACTGAATCTTGCCTTTTAGTTCCCCATGAGCGAGAGATCAGCCTATAGCATAAGCCACTCCTGAGGCACTCTTTCCATCAACTTGATACCCAGCATAATCAGCATCACCATATATTCCAAATCAAAAAGTCTCCTGATGAGCAGAATAGAACCAGGTCCCTGTCTTCTTCAATTATCTTAGGATTCTCTGAGCAGCCTTCAAATGTGATTCCGTTGGATAATCTTGGAATCTTGAATAAATCCTAACACTTGACACTTGCATCATTTACATCTAGACCAGATCTATCCACATCCAACTTCGAGTTGGTCCCCATGAGAGTATCAATTGACTTGGCATCCATAATATGAAACTTCTTCAGTAACTTCTCTGAGCTGGTACCAGGTCCCTATCTTAGCAACCCTTTATGATGACATTACCCCTTTTTAGCATTGTCTTGACTTCAAGAACTTTAAGCCTTTGAACAGCTCCTTGATGAACTTTTCTTGACAAAAAAGGGTACCTTTAGAGGTTTGCTGAATTTGTAGCTCTAAGAAGAAATCTCCCATCATGCTCATTTAGAACTCACTCTTTTAAAGCCATTGTTGATGAGGAACTTGGACAACCTATCAGCTTGTTGGGAACCGAGTGTCATACTTTACTTCTTTCAAACTGAGCTTGATCAGCTTCTTCATTCTCACCTTCAGAATTCACATTATCAGTTTGAACTGCATCATCCTTGTTCAGCACTGCCTACAGGACCGGTTCCCTCATCAGGTTCATAATCTGCATCAGTTTCCTTGAGATTGCTGGATTCATGAAGAGGATATTCTTCAGCAAGCTCACTGTTTAGACCATCTCTCTGAATCTGAATCAACCCTTCCATCTCAGAATCATCTATCTTTTGCATCTTCTCAACTCTTCCACACTCATCAAAAATCACATGAGCAATCTTAGGATTCTCTGAGCAGCCTTCAAATGTGATTCCGTTGGATAATCTTGGAATCTTGAATAAATCCTAACACTTGACACTTGCATCATTT